CGGGGCTTGGACTCCTTTTTCTACGAGGATATAGCCGTGCTTGGGCATTGGGTTTTGGTGCTGCCGACTCCTGTGAAGTGCCTGTCGAGGCTTGACCTTGGTTCTTTTGGCTCCCTGAACTCGCCTTGTTGCTAAGGCTATCCAACAAAGCAACTGCTCGACCCGTCTGCTGCCGCGCATCTTCAGCGGGTGATGCAGCGGAGTTTGATCTCGCTTCTTCCTGCTTCTTCCTGCGTGCAGCAGCCAAGGCAGCAATCTTGGACGAGCCCCCGAGCAAACCCATGCGTGGCAAGGTCCTTGCAGGAGTCAAGGTCCCCCGCCGATTTATTGGAACGTTCAGCCACGGAGTGTCGTCAAAGAAGTTTGCGGGGGAGGAGTCGGATCGCAGTGTTGGAAGCATCGAGAGAAGTGGATAGGCGTCAAAAACTTTTGAAAGGAGCTCAGTTCAGCTAGCGTTCCGAAAACTTTTGAAAAGTCGAGGTGGGGTGGTCTTACATGGACCGGTACGTGTGTCCGGGGAATTCTTACTCATATGGATGGAGGACAGCTCCTTGTTGGGGGCAAGGGATAAGCAATGTGGAGATTTGAGTACTGACCATTTGCTTGCTTTGGTTGCGCTTGAGCGGCAGAACTGGCGGCTTGGTCAAATCTAGAAGGCTGCTTCGCCTTCTTCGTTTGCGCAGGCTTATGAGCATCTGTGACGCGTCAGAACCACGCTATTCTGCTCGGTACGACCAGGTCCCTGACTTTTCAAGTACGCAACGGATTTTCCAATGTCGTAGTAATAATTCCAAAGCGCGTCTTCAATTTGCTTGTCGCCGACGTTTGCGTAGTCTGGGCCCAGTGCTTCTCGAACTTTGGTTTTGCCTTGGCGCATTTGCTCTGGTGTAGGTCGCGCGTTAGTCGCGCATGTCGGGAGTAGCGTGCAAGCGATGGTTATTGTGCCTACCCTGATCTTCGGGACTCAGCTCTGAGGAGACTGGGATTAGCAGGAGATTCGGACTTGTCGGCGTAGAGGCGCTGCGCCCTCACCTTCTTCGCCATAGTCATCCTCGTCATATTCGTCCAGGTCGTCGTCGTCGTCGAAGTCGATATTCTTAATCCTGCGATGCGACATGGCGACACTAGAAGCGGCGTGATTGCTGGTAGTCAAAACTCGAGGCGGCGTGGAGCGTTGGCGATGCGAATGAAGGTCGAGGGTTTGTCTGCGTTGCGACTGAAGTAACCGAAGATGCAAGTGACGCAACAGCGGCCCCGCGCTCGGGCCACTCAACAGCGCCAAACCACCAACAAATTGCACTTTCACCCCCGGCTCAGTCTGGTCCCGTCCCTTATATGTCTCTAAATTTTGACGGAAGCATTTCAACGGGAATGGCATCCCTCCCGCAAATATTCACCAAGTCTCTCAATCAACAGCATCATCTTTCGGAAAGGTGTTGAGCGGTGTAGTCGAGAAGCAAAAGGCGCCACATGATCTCGATCAAGAGACACCAAATGCTGGATAATTGATCTTGATGATTCAAACGCGAGCGATTGCGGCTCTGAAGATGCGGCCCTGGTCGCAAGCACAATCATCTACCCGCGCCTAGCCTGATGGGGCAATCAGGTGGACTGGCTCGATGCTTGTTTCCATCTTGTGAATCCTGAAAAAAGGCCACTACTCCCATGAATGCTACTGTACCAGGATTGCCTTTGGCAGACTGGTATTTCTCACTCGGCATTGTGCATAACAAAAGCATTTCCTCACAGAACAGCTGGACATTTCTGTGCGAAATGAAACGCTGACATGTTGAAAGGTCTCGAGAGTGCCAGGGCAGAAAGTTCCAGGGGTTTGGTGAAGCGAAACAGTGATGCAGGAAACTTGGCCAATGGAGCACGTCAGACACGGTCAATCCATGCCACGCGAGAGGAAGAAAACGTTGAAGATATCAAATGCCGGCAAGATCAAGTTTCGACAGGGCTGGATGGTAGGTGAGTCGCGGAGACGAAGGTGATAGCGAGAGAACTGGAAAGCGACGGGATTCCAGAGGGGCCGCGGCGATCCATGCCCGCAACTACGTCATGGCCCGACAGGCTGGAAGCTCCCGTCCCCCGGTCTCACCAAGCTAAGCTAACCACCACTCCGAACTTGGCGATACCCGCTGCTGACCCACTGCTTGTATGATGTAGCGCTGCTGGCCTGCGCGTCCTGCACTGTTGCTATATCCTCCCGTCCATTTCCTGTCCCTTCTTCCACTGCTCTTACCATCGTCCTGCTTTACCGCATCATTCATCGTCCTCCGCCGCCCGATCCTCGTCCACTCGCCCAATCTCAGCCTCTGTGGCTGTAGTGGCCACTTGCTACACACACTTACTATCAGCATTGCTCCCCTTCACACGACCTAGACCGCAATGGTAGCCGCACGCCACCGCGCAACGCGCCAGAAACGCAACAATGACAACGACGCCGATGCCGACGCCAACGGCAACAAGTACCCCGATGACCTCGAGGCCAGCCGTGACCTACCCCCACGATTCCGTTTTCGCGACGCCATCTCCCAGACCATTGACTCGACAATAGTCACCAAGATCAAGAAGCAGCTGCACGAGGGCCTCGAGGGCATGGACCGCGATTCGCTGGAGAGCTACCGCAAGAGCATCGAGGAGCTCAAGAACACCAAGAACAAAAAAGTCCGCAAGTTTTACCAGGATCAGAATGAGCGTTTGAATGATTGGCTGGAAGTGGATGCCATCGTCATGGCCACGGCGGATGTGAGTCTTCCTTGCCCGTCGGTAGATGTGGTCCAGAGGCAGCGGCTCATCCAGGACGCAGGAAGTCTTGGATTCGATGAATCCGCGAGACTATGACCACGACGGAATTGCTGAGAGTGGCGGCGCGCTTCAAGCAACAGAAGAAAGCGTCGAGCCGTTGCTGCCAGACGACGAGCGGGAGAAGAGAAGAAAAGCAAGGAGGAATGCCAAATGGGCAATCAATGTGAGTGCATCGGGGCTTGAAGGATCCCAAGCTGACACTGTGCCCGCAGATCAACGTCATAGCCAATATCCTGCTCCTCCTGGCCAAATGCGTCGCCTCGTATTTTTCGTCGTCGCTGTCACTTATCGCCTCGCTGGTCGACTCGGCATTAGATCTGCTCTGTACTTTGATCGTCTGGACCACAAACCGCTTGGTGTATGTGTTAAACATTGTTTCATAGGATTTTACTTGGATACTAACGGTCTGTTGGCAGCAAATGGCGATTACAAAAGCTACAGGCAAAATTTCCCGTACGTTGGCACTCGTAGAAGGATATCAAACTTGCTAACTAGGACAAGGTTGGAAGAAAACGTCTCGAGCCTCTTGGTATTCTGGGTAAGTCAATGGATCTCACCGAGACTGGCTTCATTGTTGCTAACAAAGACAGTCTTCTCCATCATCATGATCGTATCTTTCATTCAAGTGCTCCAAGAATCCGTTGAAAAGCTCATGGGCGACGGTCCCAAAGAGGCCGTTCAACTACCTACAGTCGCCATTGCCGCCATGGCCTCAACAGTTGGATTGAAGGGGCTCATCTGGTTTGGCTGCACACCGATCAAAACGACTCAAGTGCAAGGTGCGTTATGAAGCAGTCAACCCCCTCAAAAGCAGTGCTCCGAATACTGACCAAGCCGCGTTAGCCCTGGCCCAAGACTGCAAAACCGACGTCTACTTCAACACGCTCTCGCTCCTCTTCCCCGTCATCGGTTACCACGCGCACCTCTGGTGGCTCGACCCCGTCGGCGCCGCTCTGCTCTCTCTCTTCATCATCTATGACTGGGCCGAAACGTGCCTGCAAAACGTCACACGTCTGACAGGCAGTGCCGCCTCGGATCGCGTGCACCGCAAGATTCTGTACCTGGCGATCCGCTTCGGGCCGCTGGTCCAGGGCTTCAAGAGCGTGACGGCGTACCATGCGGGCGACGGCATCTGGGTCGAGATTGACATGCTGCTCGACGAGCGCACACCGCTGCGCAAGGTGCACGATATTGCTGAGACGCTTCAGTATTGCTGCGAGGCGCTGAGTGAGGTTGATCGCGCGTTTGTCACGATTGATTACGCGACGCAGGGCCCTTCGGGCCATGCGAATGAGCTGAGCTGAGAGATGCCGACTAGATTGAGAGTGATAGAAATGTAAAAAGTTGGTGTTTGGATGCTGCTTCTGTGCTGCCCGAGTGGCGTTTGGAGAATAGGGACTAGGTGGGCGAAAGGCGTAGAGGCACGGATCGAAGCTTTGTGACCAAAAGTCGTGGCACACAACCAAAAGTAGATGAGCAAAAGACCGCAGGCAGGGAAAATCCGTAAACTCTGATTGGTAATCAATAGGGTGCACTCAAGTGCTACCACACCGGAGTATTCGTAGTAAGCTCTCCCCTGTAGAAGCAATGCCTGCGGGCGTGTGCCACGACTTCTGCCACCGAGTCCTAGATCCTCATGTATTTGTGAAAGAAGAAGCTATTCGGACCTGTTCTCTTCAATCGTTCGAAGGCTGTTGTTTGGCCAGGGCCATCTCGATTCGTCAAAGACCCCGGAACGAACAATTCCCCACCACCACACTTACCAACCACTCCGGATCACGTTTAGATCAACATATTACAACTCGGTATCATGTTATCGCAGGAGTAGTCCTGATTTCTACATCACATAGCAAGTGATCATCTCTTTTCTGACATCAAAAATCTGTCGCCGCCTTGTGGCTAGGATTTGCCGCCTTCAAAAAGAGTCGAATCCTTCTGCTTTACGCCCTGAGGCGTTGTTCTTGCTTGATTCATTGGTTAGGTTTACTGATGTAACTACTTTGGTTGTGGTTTGGATTTTCAAAATTTCCCCGTCGTCAATGACAGATCCCTGAATCAAGAATTTTCCATCACCCGCACCACTAGCCATGCAAATTAAACTTGTACTAGACCAGTAAATCTTGAATCTCTACTTGATGGTGGATGTATGTATACATGTATGCACAGGCGTCACGTGATATGTGTCAACATCCGTTGTGGTCTAGTGGCTAGGATTTGCCGCTCTCAAAGAGAGTCCAACACGCTCTAAAAAGCGCCGGCAAGGCCCGGGTTCAATTCCCGGCGACGGAATTACCTTTTGCGACCCGTTTTTTGTAGTATTTATGGGTAGGGAGTGTGCGTTGTTGTGAGTCGAAGGCATTTTTTGACCAGGATTTCTATTGCTTTGCCGCCTGAACGACGCAGGGTGTGAAGGACATCTTGCGTAGCGAAACACTTCAAGAAACGAATGATTTGAATCGTCTGTTTTACACCCGTTGCTAGGTCCAAGCAGCGTACCTGCAGTCAAGCCGAAAGCCGACGAGGCGTATTGCCAAAAGTCGTGGCATACATAAACACGGTCTTCCGCAAGATGGAACTTGGATTCTCCCCATCCACATTCCTTCCTACGGAGGCTAAAATGCTCATGGGAACTCTGACAAAGGATGACTTTGCTCTTCTCATGAAATCTGCATCAAAGCGCCCGAACGTACCCACATTCTGCCCTATCTTGGTCATTGTGCCACGACTTCTGCCACGCGCCTTGGTCACACCCGAACTTTTGAGTCGTTGCACAACATGTCGCCATGTGTTTTCTGCATATGCAGGCCAATGCAGCTCGTTTGGATTCGTGTGTCTTGTCTGGTTGTATGTTCGAATGCTTCCAGATCAATCGTCGGGGCCAAAATGCACCGATTTAGAACCAGGACCAATCAACCAATCACAGCGCTCCATCCCCTGAATCCTGCTTTTCTGGCCCTCGACGTCAATCAACTCCACGCTTTACCTCCCCCACTCGACGGGACAGCTTACAGCACCGCCCAAGATGATGGCTGGATCGCCCCAAGTCAAGTCACCTTTCGCCCAAGCACGTGCATGCCGGAGGGGGCTTGGACGACAAGTCAGCCCAAAAATAGGGCGCAAGCGGGCTGATCTTACGAATGCTGGCTGACATGCCGTAACCCAGACCGACAGGACCAATGCGCGCGCGCCGTTGGTTCAGCCACAAGTTCCCTTTGGATCCACGGATGCACTTGGCGAACCATGAGGATTCGTCGGGGGATAGCTATGGGTTGTTATATCACCTCTGACCCCGCCGCGACGGTAGCGGACCGCCTGTCGAATCCCCTTTTCTGCGCTGTTGCGCCGCCGCCCCGTCTACGCATCGTCAACAGTGAGCAAGCATCATGTCGAAGAGGACCGTCTTCACTACTATTACCCCGCTGCCGGCGGGCGTCTCGAAAGAGACTGTCTTGGAGTTTTTGCATGATCATATGTCCATGATAGACTTGAATCCCTTGGTTGTGGAGCGCCATATGATACGGCCTCCACGAAGTGCGACTGCCGAAGAATTCCACTGCATCTGGTATTCTCTGACGGGTAAGTCATCGAAAGATGAATGCCTCTTATGCGGAAACTGACATGTGCAGATCGAGTGAGCTACATTCCCGGCGTGTCTGGATCAGTCACCTACAACGCATGTTTCCACGACCTCTTTGACGGCGTGCAAACGCACGTCTACGCTCCTCTGGGACTCGACATCAAGGAGAAATGGAGCGTCGGTGGAAGCCTTCCTGGGGAGCCGCAAGCACCTGTCGAACTCGGCCTCAACATCCCAAGCCAAGGCCTCTATCTCCGCGAGGACTGCGACATGCACTGCAACATTGTAATGAATAAGTTTGTCAAAGGCACGCTCAAGAAGGCCCACAGTGTTCTGGTCGACCGACTGGTGGCCAAGGCCGGCATCGAGGATTCCAAGAGGCAGAGTCGCAGAGTGTCGGCCATGAGCTCAGCGCAAAGCTCCGTCTACGCCGACATGGCAAGCTCCGTGTATCGGCCACCAAGCGTTCCCTCCAGCGAAGCGGCCAGCGTCAGCAGCAGCAGCGGTGGTGGCGCCCACTCGCTCCTCTCACGCCCAAGCTCGTCCCAATCCGAAAAGCTGCCACCACGGGACTCCTCCGTCGTCGTCGTCGTCGCAAACTCCAACCCCAGCAGCGCCAACGCCACGCCTCACATTGTGGCCGAACTCGACTCGACTGAGCTGGCCGCATCTCCCGAGCCCGAAGGAACCGTCGAGCTCGACCAAACCAGCATCGAAGACCTGCTGCAGCAGAAACTCGCCGACGACATCGCTGCCTTCTTCAACAGCGGAGGCACCTGCGGCGTCGCTCCCCCTCCCCCTCCCCCTCCTCATCCTCATCCTCATCATGTCCCATCAGAAAACAACAACAATCCCCTGCCCCCCTACCGTCCCGACAAGTACCAATCTTTTACCTCTGCGGCCACCACCACGGCACCCGCGCCCCTCAAGCCCAGCTACCTGGCCTATCGCCCGCCCCCCGTCAAGTCGAATAGCTACACGGCATACTCGCCTGGCCCAAAGTCGCTGACGCCCGAGGCCGCCGCGGCGCAGGGCAAGGCGGCGCGCCCGCGCTCGCGTTCCAGCTTGTCGTCTGCCGACCTGCATTTGCCGGAGAAGGGATCTGGGCCAGCTGTCGGGCCGGTCGAGTTGGAGGGATGAGCTGGTGTTGCTCACCGTGGTGGAAGCAGAATAAAATTTCTCAAGCTTTGTTATTCATGTGTGTTTTTTATTTTTATTTTTTATCTTTTTGTTTGGGGGACGGCGAAAGATTTTGGAGAGGAAGAGGGATGCTCGGTGTCAGCCACCATGTGAGATGTCGAGAAGAGAAGAGAAGGAGAATGGCATGAAAACGGCGCTTGGAGCTTCGGAGGTGTTTAAGGGATACGATACCCTGTGTATGCTGCTTTTTAAGGTGTCAGCCCGGGTAGACATGTTCAACGACTGTATGATTATTACATGAGTCAATGGATTGACGGACGGGTAGATTGCGGTCCAAAGGTTGTTCGTCAAATGATAATGTGGGATTTTGGACGATTGCCCGATACCGCAGAACTGGCCTTGTCGCTGCTGTGGCAGCTACCATGTTTCTCAAAGGGCTCAGAAAGAAGGGAAGGAAGGGAAGCAGGGGAGAAGAAACTTTGCGGACAGCAGGAGATAAGTGAAGTGACTCAGCGCTGCGCCGCACTCGGTACACACACACACACACAGCGAGCATTAAATCAGGCAGATCACGCAGTTCATTGGGCCAAGTGGATGATGTGGCAAGTTCGGGTATCAATTCACCATCAGTCTTCCCCTCCGGTGGTGGTCTGTCTGTCTGTATAGAGTCTAGTCCAAGTCCAGACGAATATTTACAGCGGAAAGAGGCCCGCGAATGTCAACCTCCAACGCCCAAGAAGAGTGTGAGGACCCCGAAAGAAAGGAAGGAAGGAAGGAAGGAAGGAAGAAGGAAAACCCAAGCAAAAGGCAGACCAGAAGGGCGAGAAAGAAAAAAAAAAAAGAAAAAAAAAAAAGAGAGAGACCAAGCCTCCATTTTCAACACTCCATCCCCCCCCCCCCCCCCCCCCCCCCCCCCCATCTTCTCCGTCTCTGAAATGAAGATGCTCAATGCTCCCATTACGCCCTGCAGCAGTCGTTCCACGTCGCGGGTTGCTCAGATGCCGACCTTGTTCAGGACGTAGCCGACGGGCACGGGCCAGCCCAGGATGCCGGCGGCGATGGGGACGTACCAGGTGGCGGTGCGGGTGAACTTTGTGCGGTAGAAGCCCCAGGAGACGGGGTGCGACGGGCCCGTGGTGGGGTAGCGGCCGACGGGGCGGGCCTCCTTGGGGAGCAGGTTGCGCGCGGAGCGGAGGAAGGCGCGGATGGGCGAGGGACGGAATGCCATTTTTTTTTGTTTGGAGAGGTGGGTTTTGATTTGAGGAATTGGTCGGTGGTTGATTGAGAGAGGGGTGAAGCGATTTGGAGTTGAGCTTCAAAGTGTGTTTTTGGTGGTTGTTGGTTGCGATTGAGAAGGGAGGGATGTCGATGTATGAACAGCCGGATTTAGAGTGGTGGTTTGCAGTCGATATGGACAGGTCTCGTTGATTCGAGGCCAAGAGAAGTCGCAGTTTATGCACAGACTGTTGTTGTGATGGTTGTGATGATGAAGAAAAAAGAAACACCTGCCTCGCGCCAGAAGCAAGAATATATACCACGCAGAAAGCGCAGGCGCAGGCGTTGCTCATGACGCACTCATCCCCCTTCGACCCAGTGCCCAACGGTCAACGGCCGGACAAAACCACAACCAGGCTTCGCATCAGCTGAGACGGGGGCCAGTCAATACTGGTGGCATCATGGTCAAAGAGGCAGTCCCGTTTGCACCCGCACCGGGCCTCAGATCCGTCGCAGTCGTTTCGTGCCAATGCCGACCGGGCTGAGTCGCGGCATCGTGGCCGCTGAGAGCCGCAAGCAATCAGAAGAGCCGCCAGAGACGAGGGTGGTGTAGAATTGGCTTGGCCGTTCGGCTCTGGATCCGGGGAAAGCAGGAAAGCAGGAGTGCAGGTGTCGTGATTCGATGGGCTTCAGCCCTGCCGAGCGACCGTTGGAGGTTCCCAGAACGGCGAGGGTCGACGTTGGGGCGCTGACTGCATGGGGAGATCAGTGGTGTATGGCTGGCGTGACCTGAGCGAACAGCCAACCCTCGCGAGACGGTGGTGTGATGGAGATTCTGCGGCCCCTGCGCCCGTCGGCACTCGGCAACCCAACCGGCCCTCGCTGAAATGCTCACGATGCTGACTGACTTGGCTCCTCTCCCATTGACCTTCGTCCAGAGTTGGCTGTGATTGGGTGCTTGGGGACCATGTCCAGACGTTTGTCTTGAACTATTCAGGCGGACGAGTGCCGGTGTCGAACGGTGTGGTCCAAGGGCAGGATTCCATGGCTCAAGCTACATTGGAGTGCAAACGACAACGAGATCAAGAACAAGTCTTTTAACACGCCAGCCAAAGAAAGACACGGCGAAGAGAATGCAGCAAAGAAGACTTGAAAACAACAGAGCCCTCTAGAAATGCGGCAGGGACGCCTCCATGTTATACCCACGCTGCCTCGACGCAGCTCCCAGACACAGCGCCAACTCCATGCCATCGTCACCCCATCTCGGCAGCTTGTCAAACCAGACTCCAAGACGCCGGCACCATGTGCTCTTTTTCCCGTTTCAGCCCAATCACTATGACGCCAGAAGAATGCAACC